CTGTGAGGCTGGCAAGGAACTGGTCTGGTTCACAGCAGCCTGTGAATATGTACAGAACCTGCCCTTAGAAAAATGCTGCCTGAGTAGGCTAAGGACAGGGGAAAGGAAATGCTGCCTGTGGTTTGCAGAGGGACAGTTCTCATGCAGAAAGTTTTGTCGTGAATACCTGAAAGAATCTGGGAACAAGGACCACAGCCCAGTTAGTCCTGTGTGGGTTTCTGTCTGCTATGCTCATCATCCTGCTGAGAACTCATTTAAACTTGGATTTAATGGGTAACTCATCTGGGAGATGCATCAGGTCCCCCATCCCACCCCAACAAGTGATCTCTTCAGCACAGGGGAAGCAGGGATGAGACCTCCAGCATTTATTTGGCTGTGCATGTTTCAGTGTGAACCCAATCACTGCGCTTCCCCTTGAAGTGCGGCCACTTTGGGGCTGGAATGCTGTAAGGAATCTCACTTGGTACTGGGATAAGGAAATGATCAAGGACTTGCCTAGTCACAATTAATGGGGGAAAAAAAAAGAGCTGAAGGCCCTTATTAATCATTGCACAATGAGGAAGTCATACTGGTTTGGCTCCCTTCAACTGAGCTATTTGGTCACACCTACCTAAGTGTTTCGGCATCCCAACCATGTCCCTGCACACCTGACAAGGCGAGGGCCACCCACTACGCCCACGTGGCACTGGGCTGCCTGACCCTGGCAGCCAGGCAGGGGCCCAGCTCTCAGAGGCCAGCTTCTCCACGTAGGGGTGTGCCCTTCCATCTCTGGGCTATGGTTTCTGCCCCAGGCCCTGGTGCTGGTGTCTGTGCATCACAGTGCACGTCCTGTAGCTGGTGCTTGATGATATGGAGCATGCAGCCGTAGGCTGCAGTTATTGCCACCATGGCCACAATGGATGTGAAGCGTGTCCACGTGAGAAATGAACTGCAGCAGCTGTGTTGCATATAGGACGTCCCTTTCTCACCATCTCATGACAAACTAACCTGCCATTTCTGGGTAAGTATCGAGGCTTTGACAAAATATATATTTCTCTGTTCCAGGCAGGACTGGTCAGTGCTTCTCAGCTAAAGCCTTCTGAGTGTCCAACTGTGCTCCACACATCGCAGCCCCTTTTCCCACCAGCCCTGGCCTCACTGCAGTGTTGAGTGCAGGAGGGAGTGCCGCTGTGGGAAGGGATGGGGCAGCCATTTTGGGGAATTTTTGTCAGCCACCTCCAACACATCGGAGAGCTTTTCTGAGGCTGCCATTGTGGCTTCTGTTTGTCAGATACCTGCCCTGTGACGGGTGCGTTCCGCAGCCCCGCCACAGCCACTCAGCCCCAGCTCATGCAGTAATTAGCCAAGTGCTTCCTGGCTGTCTTTAATTATGGTCAAAACTATTGCCCTCTAATGTCATGCCTCCACACAAAAGCATAGGCCTGGGCTCCGTCTCACAAGGAGCACGGTCCCAGCACGTGCTGGGATGGCTCCACATACCCACAGCTGCTAACTGAACATGACGGGCTCACGTCCCATGGGTGAATCACATCATCTTTTTCAACCTCACAGATGTAATTGTCCACATTTGGTCTTCCAGGTCATGATTAGCTGGCCAGAATGGTGGGGCCCTCCTCAAAGCTGTGTTTGATACAGTCTCAGCTCCCATGGTGAGGCAGCTCAGCTGGCAGCACTACATTGTGTTTGGTCCCCCATTTCTGTGGGGATGGCATTGAGGTAGGCCTCAAGTCTGCCAGCCCCAGCCAGCTCAAGTGGCACACGGGCTCTGCAGGGCTGCATCCAAAAGCAGCCAAAAGCTCTTAGTTTTTGCCCAGACTGTGAGCTGTCCCAGTGTTGTCACTGTCCATTGTTGACCTCGAGTTTCTGATGACAACAGACCTTTGGTGACTTCTAGCTGGCTCTGGTCGGCCAGAAACAACAGCCCAGCTGCCGTGCTCGGCCTCATGAGGCTGTGATCTATAACGTGCATTGTCTTTTTATGTAATGCATTTTATTAAACATCTTCTAAAGCTTACAAGTGTCCCCAGGACATAACTCTCCAGCACAAAGTACTGCCTTGCCAAGTAATGAAGTATGATTTATGGCGGTAACGGTTATCCTGTTGTTTTTTTTTTTAAATTATTACAGCAATAGCTCTGTCGAATATAGGAATATAACATGCTGCATTTGGCACGTTTATGACAACAGGGCTCTGGTTTTCTTAACTCCACAGCTCTGCATTGGCAGAATGTCAAATTCTTGAGACAGATGTTTAAATGAATTTTAAGAGGACAGTGAAATACTTTTAAAGCATCATATCGGCACTGAGTGTCTCAATATGAGACGGCACATTATTCCTGTAATGTTCAGGTAGAGGAGGCCAGCACATGGCCTTTCTGGTTCGGATCTCACTGCAAATGATGGGAGTAGCAAATGTCAAATTTGCTTTTGGAGGCATCCTCACATGTCATTACTTTTTGGCTGGGGGTTTTGGGGCTGGACACTTGACCTCCCCCTTAGGTTTGGTTCATGTTCGCATCTCAATGGTGAGCAGCAGAAACAGATCCACATTTGTTTTGAATGCTGTTCCCACCACGCTGATACAGGGCTAAGTGGTCTCATGCTGACATTTTGAGTGTGTCATTGTGGTCCCAGTGGTTACAGTTTCAGGCCAGAAATGACAATCATTTGGAAAAATGTAAATGAGAACACTAGTCGTATATCTTAGAGGCAGATAGTGTTCAAGTATTTCCATTGAAACGTTGAAAAAATAATTTTAAAAAAGCAACTTTTTTCTAAGGTATTGGCTACAGGAGCGTGCCATAATGAAACACAACCAGGGTGTTCGGTGCTGGCACTGTTGTTCACCACTTTCAATCATGGAAAATCGGAGCCCACAAAAGCAGGAGTCAGCATTGTTGGAGACATCATCGCCATCAGCGCACAGTGTGCTTGCGGCCGGGAGGGGAAGGCACCCTGCGACGCGGCTGTGCACGCACTCAGTGCAGAGACATTGAAGACAAGTGAAGCATCGGTAAAGCAATGAACACTTATATTTAATTTACATTTGACAATTTGCACATAAATAATGATGTAAACCAATACGTAAACATATGATAGTTTGTTGTTCTAGCAAAGTAAAAAGCCTGTTAACTTTGGTCAGAGTCTTTCTTAAGAGAGACAAAAAAAAAACCCCAAAACACTGTTGATTGTTGCTACATTCACATGTAAAACTTCTAAGGGAAGGGGGAAACAGTAAAGAGAAGTAACAATTCTTAAAGCTGATGCATATAAATTCTTGTAAAATTTGTATCAAATACAAGAAAGCACTACAGGCAAACATAGGAAAAGTGTGTGTCCAGTGACAGAGTAATGATACTTTGGTTTATCCTACAAGTAAGTACTATATTTATGAACTATTGCTACATTTAAAAGATGTCAGCCTCACAAGTTGCAGGAGTGGAAATGTAATGAACTGTAGTCCTTCAAAAGCTGTGTGTATGTCAGGATTGTTTAACCAAAGGCATTAAAATAAGATTCCACGGGAAAAAAAATCACCAAATACTGGATTGATGAAGTGGGAGACCTTACAATTTATAACAGAAACAAACAAACAAAAAGATACACCTGGAAGGGAAGACTGCGCTAATGCTACCGAGATTGATGCGAGTTGATGATGCAACTCGTTAATGGCAGGGTATAATGAGAGTAGGGTGCTCACTTAGAGCTCACCCCCACTGACTTTCAGCCTACCCTTCACTGTGCTCTGCGCTCACACCATGCGTGCGTAGTATTTGGCTTCTTTTCAGGTTCTTTTGGTTAAAGTTTTCTGGTTGCTTCTTCGCTGCCCACCCACCTCTTTCCCCCCAGTACACACTGCCAGGAGAGCAGGGCACCGAGGACCCCAATCCTGCGGACACGGTTCCTCCCCCTGACTTTGCCCAGACTCCCCATGTGAGTGACGTTTTTCACATCAGGCATTTGCAAGTTTGGGCCCTGCAAGGACAGCCCTGCACGTGTACTTGCAAGCGATAAATGCCTTTGTACAACCTTTTGGTTTTGAGGTCATTGGTAATATGCAAAACTGGATAACATCTGATTTTCACACTTAGATGAAAAATAGGTTTTATTACATGGTTTGGCTCACAACTTAACTGGTATAAATATATATACATATACATATATAGTATAGTGGTATAAATATATCTATAAATATACATGTACTCTTTGCTACACCTCAAATGTCACCATATCATCTTTGGGCTTAGCAAAACAAAAAGATAAAGGACGTGCATTCTATCTTTCCCTGTGCACATTTTGGTTTCTTCTCTAAAGTAGCAAAGCATTTAGATAAAACAGCATTGTCTGCACCACTGGACACAAGCACTGAGGTAATTGTTGTTCAACAACTTTGCAATGCCCTTTTCTTCTTTAATTAAATTAACCACAAAATGTACAAACACAAATACTGAGAAAAATCTGAGTTGTACAGGAAGGAAAAAAAAAAAAAAATGTATGTGCCAGAAAAGGACTTTGTTCCCCATTTCTACACCCAGGCAAAGTGGGAGAGAAAAAACACATGTAAAACCAAACCCCTTATTTCTCAGGGAATCTGACCATTTTTTGTATCCCTGGAAGGCTCTGGCCAAAAATAAACAAACAAACAAACAAACAAACAAAAAAAATAGAGTGAGAGATAGAGAAAAGAAAGAATCCTGCCGAAAATCTCCCTTGAGGCAGAATATTAAGAATATTGGTGTATTTGCTTTTAAATCGTTATTGGAAACAAAAGCATGTAAGTGATATTTTATTTTGGAAGAGCCACTTTAAGCTGATGTGTTCCTTTGGTCATAAAGTTACGTGACAAAGTGTGGGGCTATAGCTGTTCTCTAAAAACCTATGGTATTGTCCATGCAGGTGTTTGCTGTGTCACATCTGTTCTGGGTAGAGCTGCAGGTAGAAGAACCTCTCCTGCCCTCAGAGAGGCCGGGGCAGCAGTTTCTTCTCTGCTTGCTGCTACCTTTTTTTTTTTTTCTCCTTTTCAATCCCAATGGGGTGATTTGCACATAAAAGTACCAGCATTTTTTTCAGACTGATTGATCTAGGATTCTGTATGTCAATGTCCAACTTTGGCAAAAGAAAAAAACACATTTGTTTAAAAGACATTGGTACATAAAACATGGTTACTGAAACCCCAATCTTAGGTTCTTAAAACAGATGTGCAGAAAAAAAGTCTATGGAGAATGGCCATAAAACAAAAAATAAAAACACTTAAAGTAAAAATTACAATGAATTTTCCAGTCATTGTAAACATTTTTCTAATTATTGCTTTTAGAATGATAAATTGCATAATAAATTATGAAGTACTATCATTGAAAAAATAATTATGGATAGATGATTGTCTTTTAGTAACTGGCGAGGCAACACACAGTCCTTTGCCTCTTTTTATGCCCTGAGAAAACAGTAACTTTGGAGTTCCTTCTTTCAGCTGGAGAGCGTAGGGAAACTACTGTAAGCCAAGATTGCTTTGCAGCATTGAAACTATGTACAAGCAACTGCTACAGGCACCCTGACTTGCCAAGTCATAAATAAAAAAATCACTTTGCCAAAAAGTCTTAAGGGTCCATTGGTTCAACTGTTTCTTGCTTGACCTTTACAGGTAACAGAGGTAGTGGGTGACCGTGAGGCAACTTCATAATTGACATATCTGAAGACTCGTAAAGGTTGCATCCTGAGGAGATAAGTCCGTTTCCCAGGTTCCTCTGTAAAGATACTTTGAGATTAGCTCCTTCCATTTCCCTTCTGAGCACGGTCAGTATATCCTTCTCCACGATGGACGTTAGGTCAATATTGTCCTCCACCTCTTCCAACTTGTCTGCATTGTCACTGATGTCAAACTTCTCGATCTCCTCATTGATTCGGTTCAGGTCCTCCATCGAGAGGCCGGAGGCGGGGGCGACAGGGCAGTTGCCCTTCAGGTGGACCTGGAGGCTGCAGAGGTGAATGTAGCTCTTGTGGCAGTGGATGCATTTATGGGGACGCTCCCGGGTGTGGAGACGTTTGTGCAGCTTCAGGTGCACAAACTGGGTGAATTTGGCTGGGCACAGCTTACACTGGTAAGGCTTCTCTCCAGAGTGGAGCCGCAGGTGGGTTTTGAGATTGCTGGTGCTGCTGAACCGCTTGTGACAAACCTAAGGGGGGGTGGCAGAGAAACACCGAGTGAGTGGGAGGGGATTTTATGCTTTAAATCAGACACCTAGGAGGAGATGGCAGGATGAAGCGGCGGCTTTTTATATCTTCACACTTTCTCACTGGGGGAAAAAAAATCCCCAGCTTTTCTATTTTAAATACTGCTGAATAGCATTTTGAGTGTGGTGACGGCAAAATTGTATCAGGCAGATGCTGCCCTAGCAGGCTGAAGGCAACCATGCTGTTTCACAGACACTGGCACATCAGGGCTGGAAACAGCTGTGACACGGATGTGAATCCTGAGCAGTTGCCAGTTTGTCACACAGCTCACCACACGGGCTGTGCACACAGGGCAAGGAGGGCACGGCCCCTGCTGTCCCATCAGACTCCAAGGGAAGCTCTCTCTGTATGTGTTACATACCTGACACTCGTGGGGCTTCTCTCCTGTGTGTACCAGATAGTGCTTCTGGAGGTGAGCCAGCTGTGTGAAGCCTTTATTGCAAGTCTGGCATTTAAATGGTCTCTCTCCGCTGTGTACTCGGAGGTGCACCTAGGGAGAAACAAAGCAATTAACAATTGGCAGTTTCCAGTAACGCAATGAAAGTACTTTCAGATGTTTCCTAAAGTTAGCAGAAGCCTCTTACTGCCAAAATGCACTGCTACCTAGTTAATTAGGTGGTGTCAATGTTAAGGAATTGTCTCTGCAGCCGTGTTTTCTTGGTGGGGGATCAGTATTAAGCCCAGACTGATCAATAGCCTGCCAAGCACAAGAGCCTTTTCCCTGATTTTCCTAGAAAACCTACAGGGAGAAATCAGAGCCTTAGTCTTAAGTCTCCACCACCTACCTTCAGATTCGAGAGCTGGCCAAAGGTCTTGGAGCAAACGTTGCATTCGTACTTGATCTTCCCGTTCTGCTTCTTCAGTGGGTACGGGAGGGTTTTGTAACCAGTCACATTCCTCTTGCTTTTAATGAGATTCATGGCTTCTTCACCACCGGTGGCAGCCAACACCACTGAGGTAGGTTTAGGTTGCATTATGTGTTCTGAACTGGCTGCTGTACCAGCTGTGGGTGACCCGCTGGTGGGGCTGCATGGCTTGTCCTTCATGCTGGCAGCAGCGCCCGTGATAGAGAAGGCACTGTTAGGTGCTGGTATGAGGAAGTCCCTTGGATGATCAGGCTGCAGCAATCGACGGCTTCCTTCGCTGGGCAATGAGCTGGGGAGCGTGGTGGGGTTCAACATGTGGTGGGAAAGGCTACCTCCACTGAGCAGGTTGCCATAAAGGGGATACATCCGTGGGAAGAGATTGAAATTGTTGATGCCGTTGATATTGTTCAAAGCGCTCAGGTTATTACAGCTCATATTGAACGGAGGTAACAGAAATTTGGGGTAGTGGGGGTTATAGGATGGTAGAAAGGCAGATGGGAGGTGGCTAGGGGGGGCGTATCCAGGATAAGAACCCAATCCTTCTGAGCCATAGGATCCGTTCAGGTATGAGTATGACTCTCTGTGCTCTTGGGAAGTTGGTGCCAGAGGTGAAACTGTGACCCCTGGGCTGCTGTGAGGGCTTGAACTTTTTAAACTTTGGTCTGGACTGCTCCTCCCGGAAGGACTTGGTGTAGTAGATGACTGGATAGGTGAGTGAGTAATGTAGCTGGGTCTATCCATCCCATATGCTAAGGAAGCTTTCAGATAGTCTTCTGGAATGTGAGGTCGGATCGGGTAGACAACGCGAGGGAAGAAACACCTCTCTGGGCTATAGTTCTTACGCAAATCATCCAAGTCCTTTTCTGGAGTAACCGGTGAAATGTTGGTCTGGAAGAAGTCTTTTCCTTTTGGAGGACTGGATTCCATTTTCAGGATTTCTTTCACACTGTGCTCCTTCTTTGGGACGCTCTTTTGATAGAGCTCATCTTTATCAGCACTGTGCTGCTTTGGATTAACGTGGGTTTGTGCTGAAATACAAAGACAAGGTAATTATTATTTAGATAAGCCACCTTCATTATCTCTTTTCAAAACACAATCTAACTCCTACAAGCTTAGTGGGAAGGACGGGCCACTTCCAGAGATAAAAATTCATTTAGTTCACAAAAAAAAATAACTTCTGTGCAAAAAAAATGCCTGCTGGTATGAAGGCATTAACAAAAAAAAAAAACAAAACAAAACACAGTTAATTTAAGGGACAACTACTAGTTTGTACAGATCTGGACGATGATTCATTTGCAGAGCAACAGTGTCCATTTTGCAAACTGATTTCTCTGTACTTTCCCCTTAAATTCGACCATCTTCACTGCTGGTATCTCTTCAAGCTGTACTTCTAGCAAATGTGGTAACAAGCATTTGCTCACAGTACAGGTTTACCAGAAAGACTTTACAGAACACAAGCTCCCAGAAATGTTCCTCACTAAAATAACAAGGCATGACAAATTGGCTTTTGCCAAACCGCAGCAGTCACTTCACCAGCCAGTTCAATTACTTACAGTACCAAAAAGCCCATGGCTGGCTAGGATGAAAGCCTTCTTCAAAGAGAAGGTATTCTCCATCAGTAAACAGATCATTACTCATTAAATATACTGCTTAGGAACATCTACAACAAAGCAGACTATTTACTGCAGATTTCTGTGGCATTCAGTCTATGCAAAACTCCTCTGCTTACAGCTGTACTTTATAAAAAAAATGCTGAAGCAAAGCAAAAGAAAGCAAGACTGGTTGGCTCCAGCTTAAGTTGAAATGTACTTAAAAAAAAAAAAAAAAAGAAAGAAAAAAGAAATGTGCATTTAGAAGGAAATAGAAGCTAACATCCATTTGGCTCAGTTCAGCACATACACAGACTGTTTGTTTGTATTCAAAAACTCTACCTTCTTATCTGGACACAATATAGTACAGACCACTGGAGGATAGAAAAAGAATTCTACTTGTATCTAATCTCCCAAAGTTAATAGTTATATAATCACAAAATGATGACTTGTAAGATGTTTTATTACAGGGGAAAAACTATAAGAAAGTTTCATATTAGTGATCAGCTACGTGCAAGGCTTTCCATCAGGAGATGCAAGTCAGTGCTGAAGGTACGTGACTCGGACGTATCACAGCCTTTCTGCCAAATTTCTGCTTTTGTGACTGACAGCTCTTCCTTTGCTAACTGGGCTGAGAAACAGTTGTTTCTAATTTCTGACGGACCAGCTAAACCCAGTGAGGAAGATGGAAACAGGCAATGACCACACCGCTTTCAACGCAGATTCTTTGCTTCACTATTCACTACCCTCACGGAATCTATCATTTGGCAACATTACCCTATAAGGCAAAGAAACAGCCATTTATTAAACGTATCCAAGAAAACAGCTGCTTTCAAAACATGTTCCTGCTCACAGCAACCCGCTTTTACAGTAGCATCTTTTTTGCTGGCAGCAAGCATATCTAATTTGAGATATGTAGGCAGATTGTCTGTGTTCAAGTTGCAACGGAATGCAATCAAACATAGACGTGGTCAATTAAAGTATTTATGATCAAAAACAGGACGTGTTGTAGAGCAAGCACATGCGTAAGTGTGCAGATGGCTTCCCAACTACTTTACTCAATGTTAATGTTTAATTCAGAGCTGTTTCAAAAATATACTGACAACAGGTCGTGTTGTCTAGCATTAGAAATCATCCACTTTTCTTCTGTCATTTTGTCTGTACTCTCTTCTAAATGCCCACTCAAGTTTTGGGGTAGGACATCTAGGTCTGCTAGGTTTAAGAACCCCACACTGGCATAGTGGATAACGTTATCTCCATCTCGTTATCAGCTGCCTGTCACCACGCCAGCATCTCCGAGCAAACATTCCCAGTGACGCTATCAGCAACGGGATCGGAAGTATTGAAAGCTGGGCGGGGGGTGGGCTGGGAGAGGGAGGGACTTGTGAAGCCTCACAGCAGAATAAATAAATATCACCTTATCAGGCCCATATCGGTTTCTCCATGGGGTCTGTCAAGCAGGAAGTTCAAACTGACACTTTTCTTTTTTAAAGAAAAAAACAAGTCCTGGGGGAGGGGAAGAGGAAGGAGAAGTGCCAGTGCTGCTGGAAAAGTGATAGAGAAACCCAGACGCCTCAGCTGGAGGAAGGGCTCTCTCTCACTGTCACAAGGGTAAGCTGAGGGAGGGGAGGTATGTGCCTGATGTGCTGGAGAGAGCCCGTGAGGCGAGTCACAGAGAGGAAGCTCACGCGGAGAACTTAACTTGCACAGCTGCCCAACGGCCCCACTTGACAGACAGATAGTGGCTCTTTCTTTCCCTTCTAAGTTCCCAATAAAGCCTTTCCTCCTATTAATTTTCACATGCAACAGAAATAGCAACATTTAAAGATCATTTTCCAACTGCTCTCTTTAGCTTGGAGGTCATCTTTGCTCCATAAATCCCCTCCTGACTTTTTCCCCTATTACCTGAGCCTGAGGAAGAATTGGAACACCGGAGATCAAAATACAAACAAGTGTGTCAGCACCGTGTAAAACAAGAGAAGGTAATGTCAGAAGCCAAAGAGAGGTTCTGATGTTTTATGCTGAACGTGGATTTAAACCAGGGCTGAAACTGATTGAGAGGTTTATAACCTTTCTTACTGCTCTTTAAGGAGCCATACTTCAAAGTTAGAGGTATTTATTTTTTACAAATGGGTTTCTTTTATCTTGTGATTTTAGATTTAAGTTGTTATTAATCACCATGTCTCTCTTACCATGCCTCTCTCTCCACCCCACTCCTCCCAGCACACCCATATATAATAGATAAAGGCATACAGTCTTCCAAGATCTGTATTGTTTCTGTGGTCAGGCAGGCACACAGAAAAGAAGTTAATGACAAAAGAAGAACAATGCAGTTGCATTTGCAACTTACTGATCTGAGGGGAAAAAAACCAACAGACATGCCTCCTTTGGAGCCTGATCCACTTCTCACTGAGGTCAACAGATTATTTGCTCAGATCTGAGATTTGTGAGTGCGTGCGAGAGGAAAGGGGACAGAAATCCTGTTACTTTTAAGTATTAATGAAATGTGAGCGGAGGGGCTACCTGAAGTCACTTCAATGTGGGTGTTCCAGTCACACACAGCTGCTATGCTGTCGGTTTTGCTCATTACTTAAGCTCCTAGCTATAAGCCTGAGAAAAACTTCATAAAAACAGTGATCTGTTTTTTCTAAAAACTTGAAAAACGGTTGTAGGTAGACAGTAATTTCAATAGTAATTTCAGGAGTGAAATGGTACTGAACACTTTGAGTGGTGAAGCTTAATTACGCCGATTCACATTTTTGATCTAAATTAAGAACGCTTTTGCTAGTAGAAAGAGAACCTCGAAGTTGTGAAGTAGGCAAAACAAAGAGTGTTTCCACTCAAAATGAGAGTGGAGACCAACATTTAGAAGTCTATAATTTGATCATCTGTTTTCTAAATGTGTCCAAGGCAGTGTGACTTGCCTTTGAAAACGTTTTGCTCAAAGAAGGACTTCAGAGATGCCTTCAAATAATCCTCGGTATTAAGTCAACGTCAGCCCCAAAATTCTGGTTTTGCAGAGAAAACTTTGTATACAACTTGAAAATAATTTTCCTCAGCCTGTTTGAAGATTCCAGTAGGCACATTTTAAACGAATGCAGATGTTTCCTTTCGACCCAAACAGAAAAGCTTTAAAACCAGAAAGTGAAACTGACCATAAACAAAAGGGAAAGCAAAGAGCATGCGTTAGCTAATGACAAATTTATGAGGGTCAGCGTAACGAAAGCAAGAATACATTGCATTTTAAAACCAAGAATATAATAGATTCAGTAAAATCTCACAGAAATTGTACACAAAATACAAAAAATTGTCAAGTGTTTCCCAAATATGCAAACTGACTCCCCTGAACTCAAACTTCTTTCTGAAACTTGACCAAAATAAGATGTCACCTGCCTGTGCTTGACTGATGAGACAAATATGACATGAATAGCAGGAAGTTGCATCACATGATTGCAATACGTGAACATTATTATCAAATAGTCATGACCTGAGTCAATGCAAATGTATTTTGTTTTTAGAAATAAAAAAACACTATTGCCCTCTCCACCCTTCTTTTCAAAATAAAGCTGTTATGATAAGTAGGAATGAAATGCTAGGTTGTGTGGGATCCCTAAACAAATTTCCTCAGTTTGTTCGCTAATCCAAACACCTAGAATATCATGGATAAACAGTCGATTCCAATGCAATAAGGCTACGAAGCACACCTAAAAGCTATCAAAATTGAGTATTTTGGTCTGTAGGACACAGTAAACTTGCCATCACACTTAAAACAATTTACTGCACAACATGACAATGTCTGATGTCTTAAATCTTGATGAAAAATAACACTAGCAGCCTCAAAATAGGCAAAAAGGAAAAGGGAATGTGTTGAAACGAGACTCAGTTTCTTCCCCCAGGACAGAGTGGAGTCTTGTTTCTACCACAGTTGTGCAACCCTTGCAGGCACCCCAGCATCTACTCGAGGTTGTGTAGCTTCAATCTGAGCTAATCATGGCTGAGAAGGTAGGTGTGTGCTTCAGTGTCTGAAGGACTGGGTCAAAGGCCCCAGTTCATGAAAACACAGAGGACACGGTTAAGCCCGTAACTAAGAGCATGCCTAATTGCTGTCTTGGATCTAGATGCTTTCCTTCTACGGTGCAAATGAACTAACGCTGGAGAAGTTACCTTTAATTTGGAAGTTTGCTGTTAGAGAGGCAAGTAGATGTTATACGTGGATGTGTAAATATATTTATGCACCAAAGTGGTAGTTCTCTCATTTTTGAGGCCACTAATTACAGGAAATAATGCCAGAGAAATTCTCTGATACATTTTTTCCCCGGAGGTCCATCCCACTCTGGTACTTAGAGAGGATCTGAGGTGCTGAAGGCTAGGGCTGTGATCCCAAAGCCCCTGCAGCACCTAAAGCATCTGCCTATAGTTTAAGCCAGTAAAACTGAGGTGACACTGGATATTCTCCATTAGTGTGTATCCCAGGCCACCCTTCATCTCCACCAAAGCCTTCTGCACAACCAAAACATGGCAGAGGGATGAAACGGGTGCTGAACGCACTGTGGTCTACCAGTGCCACTGTCCTGTACTTCACTAGTGCGTGTCCCAGCAGAGAGAAACCCTGATGGGATCTGCACCTCAGCTTTGCCTTTCTTTTCCTCAGAGGATGCCAAAACCAGCAGCCAGGAGGTGGGAGAGAGGCGATGCTTGGATGCTCCTCTGAGAAAAGCCATGCCAATTGAAACACCAAATTATTAGTGATTCCCTTAGCTGGAAAGAGCTTTCCTGAGGGAGTGGCCAGTGGAAGGGTCTCTCAATGACTGATCTCAGCCTCCACGACTGTGTTAAAGTGTTTCGATGGGGCAAAGCTCCATCTGCAGCCAGAGTGTTATGTGAACAACTCGGGCACAAGCCGCCTGCAATCCAGTCATATTAACACACTGTGAGGAGGCCTGGGCCAAGCTCACGCTACAAAGAGAAGCCGGAGAGGCAGCGGGGGTGCTTGCTAATTTTAAATTTAACTACAAGAAGTAGTCTGGGAGGAAGGGGAAGAAGAAAGCTGCACGGTGCTGACATTTGCTTTAAACTCATCTGGTTCCAGTATTAATGTTAGAAAAACATCCCCACCCGCACGGCTGCTACAGGCCCTGCAGTGAATAAGCATCTTTGAGAGACCTCTGGGCTTTTTTTGTGCTTTTCTTAAGAAAGGGCACCAAAATGCTAAGGGTCCTCAATTCTTTACAGTACGTGAAGAGTTTCTGGTGAAACGATAGGCCTCAGGCTTGAGCGTGTTCATCATAAAGACGAAGGAAAAAAGATAAAACTGAGAGAGCTGCTACTGTCAGTGGAAGATGCTTAAAAAGCTGATAAACTTTTGCTCTCTTCTCATTTTCTTTATGTGAAGGGATTAACATAAATAAGTAGTTTCAATAATTATCTGTAAAAGGGATGCTTTAACCTCAGCATCTAGAAAGGGGACCCTTGCTAATGTTAAGACTGAGCAATACAACTGTTGCTCAAGATCCAGTCACTTCTAGGTATTAAACCTACTTTTATTAGAACGGGACATTCTATCTGTTCAAACAAACCTCATTTTGACATGAGTAAGAGTAACTGGGTAATGTGTTGACACTTAGCAAATAATACATTCCTTACTACTTCTGTAAGGTTACCTAAGGTGACAGAAGATGTAGGAAACTATGGTTGTATTTGTGTATCCACCCAGTTAGTGACCAACCAGCTCTGGCTAGATCTTTGCAAGCTCCCCATCCATGGGAACCCTCAATACTGTTGACTCGTCCCACCTGCAGGCCCCACTGGAAATCCAACAGTTCATCACGTCAGGAAATAAACTTGCACAGCTATTGGCAAAATGACAGGCGTGCAAAGATGACAGAATCAGTGAGATATTTCTTGAACAGGGAATATAGCAGCACAAGACATTTTCCCCACTCCCTTCTCTTCCTCTTCCTTAAAAGAAAGCAAATTTTCTTCTATAGTGTATTATGTTTAGTAGTGAAAGACACCAAAATCTGGTGAAAGGGAGACATTCATGGACGACAGATGTACTTTTGATTAATTTCAATCTGATGTCATTTTCATGATGCGGGGATGTATTTTAGCTCTAATGACCCCCAAAGTAACACTGATATTTTATAACACACCGTCTGTTGCCAAATA